ACAGCAGGCTTCCAGTGCTAATTATTTTTTAACATCAAAGGGTGAAATCCTGGCTCTACCTAAACCAGTAGGATTTTTGCCATTGACTTCACTGAGGCCAGGATTTCGCCACATTACCAGTGGCAGGTAGTCTACCAACCACTCCTTCCCAAAAAAACAAAACAGATCTGAAATGCTAAATGGCATTAAAATTCAACAATAATAAGGAATCACAGGGGAACAAGGTCTGAGGGAAATGCTGACCTTTCTCATGGACACCATTGCTCAGTGAGCAATGTCTCAAATGCCAATTCAACTTTCTATTTTAAAACAAAAACAAACTGGATGAGTTTATTACTTGTGGAATGGGCTTTTGGAGAACTGAATCCGCTCTTCATCCACATAATCATGCAGTGGGCTTTTCCACTTTGCCTGCCAGTGTAACTCAAAACTATTTTGAGGGGACAACTAGGACTTCCAGAGATGTTTGTTTCCATGATGGCATGTCAACCTTTAGCTTCACAGGCTTGTTACAAGGGTGCTGGTGTGATGGTGGTATAGCATTTGTAATTTGGCTATTGTTTTGCTCACCATGATTCATTTCATATGGATCATGATAATTTTTATGGACTTTTCTAACAAGGACTTATTTGAGCTGGAGGTGAAAAATTCAATGGCCAGTAACCTGGCTCCCAAGACTGCCTGTCTCTTGCTAATTAAACTTGTTGACTTCTACTTTCTTTTCTTAATCCTGCAAAAGCCAGAAGCCTTTCCTCATCATATAATCAGATTTCTGTATCTTTTTTGGCAGTTTGGCTTTTGATGTGTCTAACCATTTGTGATGACCTGAGCCTTTGGATAATGAAGTATGTACAGAGTATGCAATGTTTTCCCCTTGTTTCATACACTAATTGGATGAAAACTGCTTACACCTGGTAAAATGAATTCACTGACATCTTAAATGTTTTATCACTTTATAGGACAAGTTTATAAAGAGTTTTACTGATGATATCTCTCAAATGAATAGAAAATTAAACATTGCTGTCTTATACTGTATGCAGTAAATCTAATGAATACATTTTGTTTACTTACCAATGTTTATAAAGGTTTATGCATTTCTTATCTTTTAAAGTTATTAGTGGTTTTATCATTATTTTTCCCAGTTTGTTTGCATTTAGAAACTAAACTGCATAATATAAAGTAGGACAGTCATTAGTTAATATTTAATTATATATCTGCTAGTTCCGGCAAGCATTTTTGGAGGTTATATTATCTAGGACTATGAAATGGTGGAGTGTATCCTCCTTGTAAGATGCCACTGACACTTGTCTGTTTTATACTTTAATTATTTTTATTAATTAGCTAAGAATTATTATCAAGTGTAACTCAGAAAAACATTGGAACTGTATTCTTTGTGCACACTATTTTGACTGCAACATAAAATGTCACTTGTAATCTTCTTAGGGAATTTAGGAATTTAGGAAAAATAAAATGTCATTATGTATCATTGAATGAAAAAGTTGTAGTGAATAATTAGGATAATATGAAAGCCCATCTACTTTTAGGATACCAAAGTACTGGTATAAATGAAAACAGAGTTGCACCCTGCACTCCCCGTGTTAAAAAAAATTTATTCTACAGAGTTAAGCAAATCAAAAGTAGAAATACCAGAGTTAAGGTTTCTGTGTGATCTTAACTCAACCCCCTTATAGAAATACATTATGATGTATCATTTAATGGCACGATCACATACTTTTTTGTTTCCATAATACCCCTGTCTCATTCAGTTCACTATATAGATAGCACTCATGTAATGATCAGCTAGTCAATACTTCATTTGTTAGTGTTTGCCATTAAGCTTTGCATACTATTCAAACCCTGTTCTTAAAACAAAAATAAATTTCCACTTGTGCTCATCACTATAATATGCAAGTGCTTCTCAAACCTTAATTATTTTTTTATCTTCATCATATGCTGATAAGGTGAATGAGTGTTGATACCCCACATTTTACAGATGGGGAATGAGGCACAAAAATTAAGGTCAAATGTTTCAGCTGACTTTCAATGTCCAGTTTGAGACACCTAGGACCTGGCTTGTCAGAGTATTTAGCTTTACATAGCACTTCATAAGCTCAAAGTGAAGTTCCTACTAGTTGCATTTGGGCATGCCTAGCATTTCTGCAAATCAGCCACCAGGATCTCAGGTTGGGTACCCACCAAATGAAGGGCAAGGGATGTAAGCAAGTAGTCGAGTACTCTATTACCTGATAACCCCAAGCTTATCGTGTGGTCAAGTAGAGTACTCATCTACTTGCTTTCTCCTGCCCCTTGCTGCCTATGTATCAGATGCAGCAAGGGTGGAGGGAAGCAGGAGCTGGTATGGCCAACTCCCTCCCCCACCCCATACCCTC